TCAAGTCACAAAGCAAGTTAAAAACAGCAAACTTTTGGGCATTTTCCTGAAACATGAAAATGTCATCTATCATTAAACAAGTTTCACTCAAATCCAGCCACACAGTATATTTTTATGTAAAACAATTTTTATAGCTAAAGGACACAAAGAATGGCACAGCTTGAAATTCATAGTTCAATAATACATATTGTAAGGATTGTGGATAGTCACCTTTCTGCTTCCTGAGGATAACAGGACTGCATGGAGAACCCCCTCCAGCTGCATGCAACAGAACAGAAGAAGAAGAAACAAAACGAGACAAGAAATATAGAGCCATAAAAATAGACTGCAACCTACAATGAAATAGAGTCATAAAAAAAAAGTCTGCAACCAACAATTATCTCAAATGGTAACCCACACAAAACAAATCTAAAACAAACGTCAGAAAAAAACTCACTTTCCTTGCCAATCACCTCTGCATTTAGCATGTAAATAATCCTAACAATTCTCATTTATAGGTGCAGGACACTTCAATATCAGAAGTTAGGGTTTGTTGCAATTTTCCTCCATTGCATTGTTCAATATATTGCAATCTGTCAGCCCAAGAGTCTGCATTCTCAAGACACAGCAACTTGCCCTCACTATGACTTCAACAGAAAAAGAGAGTGACCCAGAAGCAGTGACATGCTGAGTGGTGCTCAGTTGCCTGCAGGCCATCAGGAGAGGAAGAATGAAGCGCAAGTGGAAACAGACATAACTATCTGAGTCATGACTATGCTGAAGGAGAATCACTTTGAAATCCTCCTGGTCATTCACAGTTAGATCAAACCACAAACTGCTTTCAGGCCCAAAGTGTGAGAACAACTACCTTCTTGGCAAAAGATTGGAAGCACTGTACAGAACTAAAGATTATTGGTTACTATTACTAGCCATTGTAAGAGGTACAAAGGGTAACCTGGAGGAATATAGCAGGGAGGAAGTTTTAAGCTTCAAAAGGGGCTGAAAGAAACTGGGTTGATGAATGCAAGCTATGATACCTTCAACTGAAACCTTCAAACATTGAAATGCAAGATATTCCCTTCCCAGCCAAGTTGCAAGCTGATTTTGAATGATATCTGCGTTCTTGCTGCAACTTCCCAACAACTTTGGGGGTGTATTTACACTGGATGGGCTTCAGCTGTTCAAGAATATAGTTCACCACCTCCTCCTCAAGAGCAATTAGAGATGGGCAGCAAATACTGGCCTTGCCAATAATAATCACACCCCACAAAAGAATTTCTCAAAATGTTTCAAACTAGGCATGTAAAAATGGTTCTGGGAATGTGTTTCAATCCCATTAGAGCAGCTGGTGAAACGTGAGTTCAATAAAATCTGAAAATAAAAATTAAAACTTAAATTACACTGAATTAAAAATTTAAAAAGCTGGCAACTGTGTAAACACATCCACAAACCTTCATTCCCTTTACCTCCAACACACAGTAGTAGCATGTATCATCCACAAGATGCACTTCTTGAAATTCACCAAAGGTTGTTTGACAGCATTGTCGAAACCCATGGCCATTTCCATTTAGAACTGCAAGGGCAGCAGATATATGGGAACACTACCCCCTCATCCAGACTGTTCCTTCAGTGCCAAAACCATCAAAACGCCAAAATCTTACAAGTTCCTCCATAACAGCTTGGTAGATTTTCAAGATCAAGATGGCATCTCACCACCACCCTCTCAACAACAGCAGTACATGTTGGCAATGCCCACATTACTTTTAAAATACATTCACACGATGTGGGCATTGCTGGCTAGGCCAACATTTATTGCTCGTTCATAAACTGCCCACAGTCAACCACATCTATGTGGGTGTGGAGTCACATATAGGCCTGGTCGCATGAGATAATTAGCGCACAAGTACATAAGTGAACCAGATGGGTTTTTAACCAACAACTGGCAATGTTTCACGGTCATCATCATCATCATCATCTTTGTATCCCTGGATACTATAGGCAATTGAGCATGGCTAATCGACCTAAGCTGCACATCTTTGGACTATGGGGGGAAAATAAAGCACCCTGATGAAACAAACACAGACACGGGGAGAACATGGCAACTCCATACAGACAATTACCCACGCCTAGAATCAAACGCAGGTCCTTGGCATTGTGAGGCAGCAATGATAACCACTGAGTCACTATGCCGCCCCTATTCAGGGGGGTGTCAGCATTTTGCTCTAACTATTTTAAATTCCTCTCTTCTCATCTTTATTTACAATTATTTCTGAGAGGTTATTTCTTGTTTCCACAGTGAAGACAGATGCAGTGTTTCTGTCCAAGTCATTCACTATTTCCTTATTTTCTATGTTTAATTTCCCAGATTCACTCAGTCTCACTACAGGACTAATGGTCATTTTACTTCCCATTTTTTTAAAATACCCGATTTGTCTACAACTATTGTGGATGCTGTTCAATTAAAATTATTCATGACTATTTACTTTTCACTTCCATCTAGTCTTGTAAAACTAACAGCCCCGCTCAAACTCAATAATGCGTAGGCAGTCAAGTAATCCCAATTATTTATCACTTCCAAAGGGAAAATTCTTTGCGACAATGAACTGCTTCAATTCAGTAAATTGCAAATGCTCTAAGCCCACAAATAATGAATAAGAAAAATCACAGATCTTTTATGGAAACGGCAAACTGCATGCATCAAGCATAACAGGAAGCCCTGGCATGAATTTATGTGCATTACTTCACTGTGGACTTCTGAGCGTGAAAAAAAAAAAGAGTTCAGAGGCTTCATCAGCAGAACTTCCACTGCTTGCATTTCATCCTGCTTCTCAGCATGACTCAAAGTGCTCTCTTCCCACGCTGGCTGTAGGCCATGAGGGCAAGGGTGCAGAATAAAAGCTTAGCGACATTAAAATATTCATCAGCATTCTGTAAAGGGTCTAGCACAGAGATAAATCAATATTGAATTACCAAACCAAAAAAACAAGAGGGAGGGAAAATTTACTAAGTGGGTTCTCAATATTTGGAACGTACAGCCTGGGAGAACGAGGGCAAGTATTTCTACCTCCTTTACCCATAGACATCAGAATTAAGCATTGAAAGAATTCTGCAATATTCTCATACCCCACATTATAGCTTATTCAAATTACAGAAGCACAAGAGGTACACAATTACTGTAAAAGAGCACAGATTTATAGCTGAATATGGATAAGCAACATAATAAATGATCATGTACCTTTATTAGCCTCACTTTTTAAAAATATTAGTGCAGTGCACCATGAGAAAAGATGAAATATTTGATTGTTAGACTGTTTCCTATTTCTCCTGTTCTGATTTTTGCACTAATTTTTCTTTTTCTTCGTTTATTCTGTCAATTGCTCCAATGGTACTGAATCACAGACACCAGTTACCCTCCAGTATCTTGTTCCGAATAACTGTTCCTGCATGAGCTGAGATAGCGGAGTCTGAAGTTCTTTTTGGGGGGGGTGGTGAGGGAAAAAAGGGAAAGGACTTGAGAGCACATTCTCAATAAAGCCAGATTTTGTCTTCATCTAATGTCCATACTTTCCAACCAGGGTCACTCGGCAACTCTGGCCGAGTTTCAACCTCTACCCAACCCAGCTTGCTGAAGCTAACTATCATAAAAACAGTTTATCTGTCTGTATCACAGAATTAAAACAAGTAGATTTGGTACCTACCGGTGATCTCAAATAGCATCAACTCTGCCTTTATACTGACTGGAGGAATAGAAATTCCTCCACAAATTTTCTTAAACTAAAGTTACGATATTAATATTGCTCTGCTCTAAGTACTCGAAGGTTATATTGTAGGCAAATTAAAACTAACAAGTCAATGGAAAAGGCTTGAAATACAGAATTTTTGGGATGATGGGCAAAATTACCTTTCATATTGCATTATTCTGATGGTTATATACAGATTTATAGATATTAAGACGGAATAACTGTGGGTTTCACATTAAAAGACACTTTAGACAAATACATAACCACACAGAGGTATTTTTGAAAGCAATATTGGTTACTGGAGAGACACCAGATTGTCTGGAAGACATCTGGGGATTATAATAACAACAGAATAAATCTCTTCATGCGCTGAAGAGATTAAAGATTACGGGTAATGGAGAATCCCAATAAGCATTGATGCATAGGGAACATCCACAGTGCAGAAGGCTTCAACTGATGTAGACCAAATGGTAACAGCTGACTTCACAACTAAACAAGTTGATGTAGCAATAGCATTTACACAAATAAAGACACAATTAAATTCAGCGCATCTGGCAGCATCTGTGGAGAGCAGAGTTAACGTTTCGAGTCCACTATAACTCTAGTTTAAAATAACGAACTCAGCAGTCAATCATACAAGTACATGGTACACTGCAATTCTTCAGGAACACTATATCATAGGTTCAGGACTATTGAGAGACAGGAAGAGAAGTCTGATCATTTGGCCTTGATCACTGCTAAGCTTTTATGCTATTTGATATCAACCTCCTCAACAGCATGCAACAAGCTGTGTTGGTTTGTTTATCACCGGAAGTTATTGATTAGATGTTGTAATATTTCTTGGTCCTTGAATCTACAACAAGGTTAAAAGATAATTAGGATCCTAAATTCTAACATTAATGCATTTATTGACCTTATTTGGCTCTATTAATCACTATATACTTCCAATCACTTACAAATGACAGTTATGTTTGGTGCATCTATCCATTGTAATTTAAAACATTTCAGTTGCCACTCATTCAAGCAGTGTGTGAACTGGAGAAGGCCATTCAACTCCTCAAAACAGTTTTCCCATTCTATCAGATTGCCTTTAAACTGTATCGGAACTCCATCCACCTGCCTTGGTTATCAGCTATGGCTTGGTTGTATACCATAACGAAAGACAAAATAGTTAAACAAACTTCAATAACTGCTAAATTTATCAGGCTGCAAGTGCACACACACACACACTTTCTCTCTCTCACACACAGACACGCACGGAGCACTATCTACACGACTCACCTATTAGTTCCACGATGCTGCCGCTGCGAACACGGTTTGAGACGTCATCACGAGCAATGCTAACTTTAGTAATGCTGCCAGCAGAAGTCAGGGCCCGGAGCAGTTCGGGAGGAGGGGTACGGAACAATTGCTGCAGCATTTCCAAAGCCGCCGTCACCACATTGTGATCCCTGTGCTGGGTGTAGTGTAATGTCAATTCATAAGCCTATACCAAACAAAACAAAAGAGGCTCATAGTTCTTGATATTTCTGCTGGCAAGTACAACACAAATTTTCCATTCAGTGGAACTTTGACAGAATATATTTTTGAAGTGTTACCAGCAAAGATCGTACTACAGATGCTTAAGTAAGCCAACCACATGAATGATAGGCAAACACTAGCAGGCTGAATCTTCATCAGAAGATTATTTTTACTCATTCACAGGATGGGCAACGCTGGCTGGGCCAGCATTTATCGCTTATCCCTAACTGCCCTTGAGGTGGTGGCGGTGAGCTGCCTTCTAGAATTTCTGCAGTCTATTCGGCGCAGGTACATCCACAATGCCATTAGGGAGGGAGTTTCAAGATACTAACTCAGTAATCCAAAATCAGGATGATGAGTGACATAACAGGAGAACATCACTACCTGCAAGTTCCCACGTATCTGCTGCCCTTGTCCTTCTAGCAGAATATGGTTGTGGGTTTAGAAGGTGCTGTCTAAGGAACCTTTTCATCTTATTATCACCAGCCAGACACAAAAGAAAGTCATAAGTAGAAGAGTGGAGAGTTAAGGCAGAGATATAAACACAAAGAAACATAGAAAATAGGAACAGGAGTAAGCAATTTAGCAGGCAGAGAAAAGCAGACAAGGACAGAAAGGAAGAGACGCACTAGTAATACTAGTGCAAGTGTATACCAGTACAAAAAAATTTACAAGTTATTAGGATGAGATGAAGAGAATTTCTTCTGCACAACAAATTATGACGACCTATACTGTGCTATCTAAAAGGTAAGTGGAAGTCAGTTCATTTGGAACTTTCAAAAGGAAACTAGATTAAATATCTGAAAAATAAAAAAGTTAGATGATTGCATGAGGGAGAAAGAAATAAAATGATATGTTGATAGGATATGTGAAGAAGCAACAACTTATTTTTGTTAACAATGTTATACAAGATGAGAAAATACCAGTGGGGAATGGTGGATCAGCAAGGTTCAAAATGAGAGAAAGCCTGTGCAGGGCATAAACACTGGCATAGACCAGCTGGGAAGAATGGCCCAATTCAGTACTGTAAAATTCTGTATGAACAGGAACCCTTGCAGGGCTACAAGAATCAGCCAGCTATCTACAAGTTAGCATTTACAAATCAAACTACTGCACTCTCTCCTTCCTACTCTGACTGTACACATTTAATCACACAAAAAATACATAAGAAACATATTGTTAATGGCACTGACTGATTAAATCACATGATTTTAAGAGGAGCTACGTTCAACTGAGATAAACAGATGGTCTATACCTGCAGCAGAATTAAATGAGCCATCAAACTTACACTCTTTATCCAATTGGACAATATAAGTACCTCTCAGCACACTTCTATTACGTTTGACCCAAATGCAATACCTGTACGAGCTGGTCCAAGGACGGAGAAATTTCAGCCTCCTTCCGGGTCACACCAAAGCTGCCTCGTAGACTAGTGTCCTTCACTTGCTGCCGCAGTAAGGGCATCAGGTACCGCAAGGTGAGCATAACTCCCAGAATAAGTGGAGTGGGTCGGTCTTCTTCCACAGGGACCATAAAACCTGCAGCAGAAAATATGCAATCATTACATATTTTCTCACAGTCAAGTAAAATCAATTGGCAGAAACCATGTTTAATTACTAAGGCTAAACAAATGTGAAATTGTGACCACTGATGGCACTGTTTTCATGTTTTCATTGTTTTCCAAATTTACAGGTGTTATCAAATCAAATCAAATCCTTTATCCTTTCAAAAATAAAAAAAAGAGATCATTCGGAGTCAACACTCTCTTCAATTTAAAAATCAAGAGAAAATGTCAGGAAAAGGGCTTTTTGGTCCTTTGAACCTGATCTACCTTGCGATAAGGTAATGGTTAATTCTCTTGCTCCACCCCACCTTACCACATTATCCCCATATCATTTGATTTACTTATGTTCAAAAGTCTAATGATCGCTATCTTGAATACACTTAATGTCAAAGAATCTGCACTGTTCCCTGATGTGGAAAATTCCACAAGACAAGCAAACCTGGAAGAGAAGAAATTTTTCATGACTTCCGAAATGGTTGACCGCTTTTCTAAAACAGTGACCCTGAATTCTATTCCGTCAGCATTTTCCCTTAAAAATTTTACGGATTTCAATTAGATCACTGTTCATTCATCGAAACTGCAGTCTTCATCAACTACTCCATCAGATATGGGAGATCAGGGAGCAGTTGATTGCCCCTAGACACAATGTCTGTAGGAAACATGTCCAGCTGCAACTCCTCTCAGACCACATGGATCAGTTGGAGTGGCAGCTGAACACACTGAGGAGCATACAGGAGGCAGAGATTGTGATAGATAGTAACTTCAAGGCAGTAAGTCAGGTAGGTAGGTGACCACCAGGAAAGGTAGGTAAGTAGGTAATGCAAGAATCTCCTGTGGCCATCTTATCAAACAAGCATGCCATTTTGAATAGTTTTGCAGGGGGGTGCAGCTTCTCCAGGGAAAATAGCAGCAGCAGCTGTGTCTTTGGCATGATGACTGGCTCTTCTGTAAGGCAAGGTATGGCAAAATCCAAGTATGCAGTTGTGATAGGGCTCTGTAGTCAGGGGCACAGACAGGTGTTTCTGTGGCTATGAGCAAGACTTCAGGATGGTGTGTTGCCTCCCTGGTGTCACAGCCAAGGACGTCTCAGAGCAGTTGCAGCAAATTGTCAAAGGGATGTGTGAGCAGCTGGAGGTCGTTGTACGCATAGGTAGCAACGACATAGGTAAAAACAGGGATGCAGTCCTGCAGAGTGAGTATAGGGAGTTAAGCAGGAGGTTAAAAAAAAGCAGGACCTCACAAGTAATCATCTCTGGATTACTCCTGGAGCCAAATGCTATTGAGAGTAGGAAGAGGAGGATAGGGCAGCAGAATGATAGCTGCGCAGCTGGTGCAGGGGGCAGGGTTTCAGATTTTTGTATCATTGACATCTCTTCTGGGGCAGAAACGACCTGCACAAAACAGACAGGTTGCATCTAAACTGCAAACGCAACCAATATCCTGGAGGGGAGATTTGCTAGAGCTACACATGGAGGGTTTACACCAGTCTGGCAGAGGGATGGGAGCCTAAACAGTATGAGGCAAAAGAGAAGGCGGAGGCTAGTGCAAAAGTTAAAGACAGCAAGTGAAATAGACTGGCAGGCAAGAGCATGGCAGGAAGCAAGGGAAAGCTGATGAATTAGACTGTTTATTTCAATGCAAGAGGTGTGATAGGTAAGGCAGACGAACACAGGGCATGGATGGGAACATGGGACTGGGATATCATAGTTATTACAGAAACATGGCTAAGGGAGGAACAGGACTAGCAGTTCAATGTTCTGGGGTACAGGTGCTATAGGAAGGATAAAAGAGGTGGCAAGAGAGGAGACAGAGTGGTGTTTTTGATTGGGGAAGATATCGCAGCAGTGTGGAACTGAGAAATAAGAAGAGGGTGATCTTTGATGGGATTGTACAAAGTCTCCCAATATACAGTGGGAAATTGAGGAGCAAATATGTAGCGAGATCTCAGACATCTGTAACAATAACAGGGTTGCAATAGTCGGGAGGTTTTAACTTTCCAAACACTGACTAAGACTGCCACAGTGTTAAGGGCTTGGATGGGGAGGAATTTGTTAAGTGTATTTAGAAAAACTCTCTCAAGCAATATGTAGTTGGCCCTACTACAAAAGAGGGAAAGTGACTGAGTTGCAACTGGGGGAGCAAGTTAGTACCAGTGACCATAATTCTTCTCACGAACAAAAACAGAAGTTGCTGGAAAAGCTCAGCAGGTCTGGCAGCATCTAAGAAAAATCAGAACTAACGTTTCAAGTCCAGTTACTCTTCCCCACAACTGATGGTAGCTAGGAAAATATTGGTTTATATGCAGAGGATCGGGTGAGGGTTAAGGGGGTGTAAGGAGTAAATGATAGGTGGACATAGAGCCCAAAGAGACAGAAAAACAGTTCGACAAAGGAGTTAATAACAATCCAGCTACAAGGACGAATTGCAGTAAATAGAGACTGTTAGTGGGTAACAACAGGTAGTGTGTATTGGCAGGCTATGAGATAACAAGGCCTGGTGTGTCGGGTAGGGGGCTGGGACATGAGTGTTCAGGCCCTAAAATTATCGAACTCGATATTGAGTCAAAGGGCTGTAGGGTCCCTAAACAGAAAATGAGGTGCCGTTTTCCAGCTTGCGCTGAGCTTCGCTGGAACAATGCAGCAAGCCTAAGACGGATGTTGGTCAGGAAGTAGGGTGGTGTGTTAAAGTGGCAGGCAACTGGAAGCTTAGGGTCTATTTTTGCAGACAGAACGTAGATGTTCTGTGAAGTGGTCACCCATGCTTCGGTTCCTCAGTGTAGAGGAGACCATATTTTGAGCAGCGAATGTAGTAGACTAGATTGTGGGAAGTGCAGGTGAAGTGCTGAAAATGGTAAAGAGGTGAAGGTAGAGTGGGCTGTGGTGTCCCGGAGGGAATGGTCCCTGCAAAAGGCAGACGAGGGAGGGGAGTGGAATGAGTGTCTGGTGGTGGCATCTCACTGGATGCGGCTCAAATGGTGGCTATGATTTTCTGGATGTGGATGCTGGTGGGCTGGTAGGTAAGTACAAGGAAAACTCTCACTGTTGCAGGAGGGAAGACAGCAGGGTGAGGGCGGAAGTGCGGGAGATGGGTTGGACCTGGTTGAGGGCCCTGTTGATAACAGCGCTGGGGAATCTTCGGTCGAGGAAGAAGGTGGGCATTTCGGAGGCTCCCTTGTCAAACTTGGCCTCATTGGAACATATGCAATGGAGACGGAGGAACTGAGAGAATGGAACAGAGTTTTTACAGGAAGCAGGGTGTGAGGATGTATAGTCCAGGTAGCTGTGGATTGAAAAAGTGGATATTAGTGGCCAGTCTATCCCCAGAAATGGAAACAGATGTCGAGGATGGGAAGGGTGGCTTCAGAGATAGACCAGTAAAAATGAGGGCAGGTGGAAACTGGAAGCAAAATCGATGAACTTTTCCAGTTCCGGACAAAAGAGGGAAGCAACACCGATGATATAGTCAGTATATCGGAGAAGAGTTGTAGGTGGGGGCCGAGATCGGATTGGAACAAGGAATGTTCCACATATCCCACGAAGAGACAGGCATAACTGGGGCCCATGCGAGTACCCATGGCCACTCCTCTGGCCTGAAGAAAATGAGGAGTTAAAAGAGAAGTTCTTAAGGGTGAGGATGAGCTTGGCCAAGCGGAGGAGGGTGGTGATGGGTAGAGACAGTTTAGACCTTTGCTCCAGGAAGAAGCAGATAGCCTCAAGACCGTCGTGGTGGGGGAATGGATGTGTAAAGGGACTGCACAACTATGGTAAAGAGGCGGCGGCTGGAGCCTGCAAACTGAAAATTGTGAAACTGGCATAAAGCGTCAGAGGAATCATGAATGTTCATCGGCAGGAACTGGATCGGGGAGAAAAGACTGAGTCCAGGTAGGAAGAGAGGAGTTCTGTGGGGCAGGGGCAGGAGCAGGCTGAAACAATGGGTCTGCCCAGGCAGTCCTGCTTGTGGATTTTTGAAAGGAGGTAGAAGTGAACTGGTGGGGCCAGGGGACCATCAGCTTGGAGGCAGGGTGGGGGGAGGAATCATATGAAATGCAGTTGCTGACTTGCTTGCTGAGCTGGTAAGTTTGTTTGCAGACGTTTCGTCACCATACTAGGTAACATCAATGTACCTCCAGAAAAGCGTTGGTGTTCTGTCCTGCTTTGCTATTTATGCATTTCAGATTGCTGGAATGGGTGGCATCACTTCCAAATTTGTTTCTTAGTGGTTGGTATACGGGTTCCAGCTCTACATGTTTGTTAATGGAGTTCCGGTTCGAGTGCCAGGCCTCAGGAATTCTCTTGCGTGTCTTTGGTTGGCTTGACCTAGGATAGCTACGTTGTCCCAATCATACATGGGCAAAGAGGGACACCAATTCGACTATAGAGCTGGACCCCATATATCAACCATTAAGAAACAAATCCGGAAGAGACGCCACCTACCCCAGCAAACCTAGACACATAAATAGCAAGCGGGACAGAACACCGATGCTTCACCAGAGGCGCATTGATGATGTTACCTAGTATGGTGACGAAACGTCTGCAAACAAACTTACCAACTCAATAAACCAGTCAACAACCGCATTTTGAAAAGAGTCCACGTTACAGAATTGGACATACTGGAGTTCCTGAAAAGACAAAGGTGGATAAATCCCCAGGACCTGATCAGGTGTTTCTCAGGTCACTGTGGGAAGCTAGGGAAGAAATTGCAGAGTCCCTAGTGGACATATTTGTATTATTGACAGCCACTGGTGAGGTGCAAGAAGACCGGAGAGTGGTTAATGTTTTGCCATTATTTAAGAAAGGCTGCAAGGAAAAGCCAGGGAACTACAGACCGGTAAGCCTAATATCAGTGGTGGGTAAGTTGCTGGAGGGGATTCCGAGAGACATTTGGAAAGGCAAGGAATAATTAGGGATATTCAGAGTGGTCTTGTACATGGGAAATTGAGGCTCTCAAATTTGATTGAGTTTTTTTGCAGAGGTG